CCGTTGTTTAGAATCCAGTGTTCCGGGTGAAGATGTACGGTGAAGGAGGGTGGCTGGGACTCTGTTTTCTCTAGGAGCTCTTCAACATAGCGCGTACGATTGTATCCAGCCATAGGACCATGTATGCACAGGGTGAAGGACAGTGCTGTAATAGAGTAGCAGCAGTCTCTAACAGTTTACAATGAGAAGCCAGAGTGGCACGCTTGTTTACATAAGCCGGTATTCAAGCCTAGGGTATATACTGTCACGTGCACTAATTTTCGCGACCTACCCTTGACATGGACGCCCAGCTACGCGAGGCAAGCATGCATGGCTCGTTCTTAGCAAATTCAGTCTCTAATCGCTCTCCCTGATATCTACAGCTTATCCCGTTCCTCCGCGACAGAAACCCTCAGGTCAGGCAAATAGCCCTGTCCAATCTTCTGTCACAAACACCCAAGGGATCACCCCATAGAAACATATTTTTCGCTGGACTGCAGGCCGGAGGGCTCCAGAAACCAAAGGAGACGGACGTTATTCGAGATTTAAAGCTACTGTGCCGCGATCAGCTGGTGAATTGCTATGATTTTCATCGAGCAAGATAAATCTGATGAGCTACGATAGAATGTCGCGCACGATGCGTTCCGTGCTCTGGTTAACCTTTCAGACTCGCCGCTACTTGTACCTCATCTCTCGGATCCGTCATTCCTTAATTTCCTTGTATCTTATATCATCGTGAGTCAAGTATCCTGCTGCATTTCATGTATGTATACCAACGATCGACCATTCAGAACCCTCAATCGATCCTTGCTGATCTTGCATCGATGCTGCTATCGAATCTAACAGCATCTTCAGTTGCATGTAATCACCTACTCTCCATGAAAGTTTCCGCTATTCCAGACGAAAGGCAGGCAAATGGACTCTACACAACAGAATCACGATCAGGATCATGCACAGTACCTGTGCCGTATCCGAGCGGGGAGGCACAAGAGCTGCTTGCTCTCCCACTACTCATAGATGCTTTTGTCAAAGGTGCACAACTCGATGAAGATCTCTCAAAACGAACGCGTAAAGGAGAGCTACATTTCCTAGCAAGTGTGTTCGCGAACATTACCATCGTAAGTGGTCCTACTGAAGGTGTGGAATACGAAGCTTATCATTTAATAGTCGCCTGCTGGTCGTAATTATTTCCTCTCACCACAACCCATCGAACCGCTAAAACCTACTGGTCCCCTCGAATACCCACTGGCCAAGATTGTGGCGTTCACGGAACATAAAGATACCATCCGAAGAGGCGGCGTTGCATCCACGATGAAGTACGTTTGAAGTTGACTTCTACTTCACTCTTCGACTTATACTTCTTGCTAGAAACTGCGCATTCCAAGCAGCAGGGCACAAAGCGTTCCTTAGTCCCGATACTGACATGGTCGCTGTTCCCCCGTCGACAACGGAGGCACCAGGAATCGACGCACTCCCGTATTTGCTGCTTCCACTAGCAGGTCCAGAAGAATTTGACCTCGAGGTTCGATTTCTTTTCGATCATTTCTTATTGAGCATTATTAACTTCTTCACCATCGCAGGACCAAGAAAAACTCCTCGAACCTCTCCAATTCCTCCCACCCACCAAAAAACGCGAACAGGATTCAGCTATCCGACTCACCTTCGTCGAGATCCTGCTTCTTCTATGCCATACCCGCTTCGGACGCGAGTATATGCGCGAGCATGGAGTGTATGAGATCGTTCGTGCCGCGCATGAAGCCGAGCCCGTTGATAAAGTCGGTTCATCGTCATTCATGCTTGAAATTTGATTACTGATCTTCGACCTCGAAGATCTCTGAACACATCGAACGCCTAGTCCAGCTCCTCAAAGGTGACGAACCTAAGATCGTCAACGCTGACGAGGAAGAGGTCGTAGAGGTGGATTTGACTAATAAGCCAGCCGTATTGCCCACTGTTCCCGTGGATGATATCTTCCCAAAGCATGATGACGAAGATGACGAAGATAACAAAATCGAAGAAGTATGAAGCTGTAAAGATAATTAATATCTGAGTAATGTATCAATATATGTTCGTACCCCATTTTCTATTTGAGTTGTTGAACCTGCCGGCTAAAGTGATTCTAGAACCGTGTTGTAACCATTAGATGGCTAGCTTCTTGCTGTAAATTCACAAGCCTGATTGGATGGAAAAAGCCTGACTCCCAAGACCACCGCATCAGAGCGTACCAAGGATATGTCATCGTCGTCCATCGTGATTGCAGAGCCGTTCAGTCCTGATCATCTCTTTCGAAGTTCCCTTGTAACTTCAATTTCAATGAAAATTCTATTCTAATCACCAGGATCACTCCATACCCCATCAAACTCCCGTTGCAGCCCTTGACTCCACGTCAGGCCGCTGCTGATGCCGTGACGACAACATCTATTTGGAAGAAGAGGCGCGCTCACGTGACAGCACTACCAACCCTCTTTTCTAAAATCTGTGAACGTTTCTCACCATAACTAAAGGTGAATCAAACCCCGCCCCACTGTTCGAAGTTGGTCGCCTGCGAACAGTGGAGGACACTCCTCGTTGCTATGGTTGTGTGGATTAGTCGCTATATTTTCCTCCATTGGTGATACTCATCTTAGTTCTCTTGGCTCTCTTGGGTTCATTTCAGAGTGGGGAGTGGATACAGACACTTATTTCTGTTGTTCTATTCCTATTTTGAGGACTCTGATGTCCGTTGCACTGAGGTACGAAATGCTATAAAGTGCCTGCGGATTCATCCAGTTTACTTGTTTCCGACCACTTGTTTCTTTCCTTCTTTCCTTTTTACTCTATCTTTCACTCGATCAGCGATCGAAATTCTTCCTCGTTCCTCCTAGACTTTCACAGAGATTTTGCGGGCTAGTCCTGTATTCTTAGTCACTGCATCTCTCTTTCTAGTGCCGAGCACGAGTCCTTTTTTCGCTGCCACTTTCTCTCAAGCTTTCTTAGTAGCAACATTCTCGTCTGAATCATCCTCCCAAAATATGTTGTCAAAGCATCTTCTCATCCCCCTTCTCGCATGCATGGTCGGCACCACCTTCGCGGTGCCCCTTTCTTCCCGCTCCGTACGTGGCTCCCTTTCCCAAGTATCAAATTATCTTCTTACCTTTCGTTCTAAGCAGAAAGCCGCCGCTGGTGATCTAGCCGTGAGCTTGTATTATGTATGGACGAATTGCCATACTAACTCTTAATAGATCGCAGGTACTCCTGCTGTAGGAAAACCAGTCGTAGTGAGTACTGCGTGATTATAACGCACCAAATATCTGATCTAATTCCAATTAAGGCTGCAGGTGATGCTGCATCATCAGTTGAAGGAGTCGGCGCTGCTGTATGTGATATTCCATGGCGAATTTTTTATATGCTGACTGGTTGATAGGCTGGCAACGCTACTGTCGATGCTGCCTCTGCTGAAGCTGCCGCGGCTGCTAATGGGACTGCGATCGTAAGTCAATTCAGACTGGATGTGAGAAGGCCTATATATATACCTTTGACTATAGGACGCGGGTGCAACCGATGTTGCTGGAAATGCAACTGCAACTGATGCAGGAGCTGTAAGCTCGTTCTTTATGTTATGTGGAGTATTGATTTTAATATACATCTCACCTTTAGCTAGCTAGTGCGACAGACGTTGCTGCAAATGGAACTGTAACAGAAACTGCTGTTGTACGTGAGATTTCTTCCAATAAACCATATCATCTAATACTCAATCCATGGCTGATAGGGAGCGGAGGCGACTTTGCCACCATCTGTCAACGGTACTGATTCTACCTGCCCACCACCGGTCACTGTTACAGTCGTACGTTTTTTCTCTTCCTGCCCACTTATCAATTTCTCAATTAATTTTATTTAAATCACAGTCCGCAGATAACTCCACGGCAACGGCGGCTGCAGGAAATGGTCATGGAAAGGGCAAAGGTAAAGGACTCGCGGCCGCACTCGGCCAAGGGAAGGCGAAAGCTAAGGCAGCAAAAGCAAAAGCGGCTGCAGCACAGGCAGCTGTAAGCTTCCTGTTCCCCTATATACTACATTCATTCATCTGACATGATTTTAGGCTGACGCAGCAGCTACCGAACCACCTGCCGCTGATCCCGCTGCACAAGCCGCCGGTGATGCTGCTGCGGCAGGTGATAACACTGCCATTGGTTCGGGCGTCGATAATGTCGTCAATGCTTCGGCTGGAGATGTTTCAGCGGATGGAGCAGCTGCCAAAGGAGTGACTCATGCACTCAAAGGATCGGCGAAGCAGACTATTAATTCGAGGTAGGTTCACATTATAAAATTTCCACTTCATCGGACTGATTATTCCCGTTCAGATTTGTTCGAATTGCCGGTCGTAGGCAGTATGCAGATAGTTTACTCGCTCTGTGAACGTGTGATATAGTGGAGGAAGCACTTACAGTGCATATGCTCATATAGCCTTGTAATTATTCGAGGAATAATATTAACTATCACGGTGAAAGCTACATATTCGTGATAAGTCAATATGAGTGAATTACAGAATAGTCATAGATTTACTCACAGACGCTTACTTCAATTTTCCATCAAAGACATTGATTGGTAGCTCCGCAAGATAATTCAACATTCAACTGCTCTCGTTAGAATTAGTTCTTGGTTATGTGAATAAGTGAGAAGTAAGTTTATTTGTGAGCGATGGCGTAATGCTCATAATATGCTTAATGGCATAAAGATAGCTCCCTAGTATCATTCTTACCTATGTTGGCAGTTGTCTGAAAGAAAAAAAATCAATCAGCTCTTCGGGATAGCAAAAATGCGGCCCACTTGGGACTTAAACACAGAATATTTAGCTATCGGTTTACAATTTGCTTACGTGAGAAAGTAACTTATTTGAGGCTTACATCGGGGAAGTGAGGAACGCAGTCGACAGGGGATGAGCGGCGGACGAGCGGCGGCGTAGCAAGCCATTAAATCGAATAACGGCACAGGAGGCGCCTGCCAATCAAGTCCAATAGAAATTAATACACATCCTTTTACAAGCCGTCGTTGTATAATGGTCATTACGTTGCTTTCCGGTTTATCCATTAGGCAAAGATTGTGGGTTCGAGTCCCATCGACGGTTAATTTATTTTGCTTTTGAGACTGACTTATTCTCTAAGTTTCTTGATCTTGATTCCCTCTCCCTGCCACACTCAGTAATTTCGCTTAAGGACTACAATTATCATACTGTGATTGTAATAGAGCAAACATGGACGGTCTTGGTTGTGTTACCTCTACCTGTTGCAATATATTAAATTCTCTACCATGCTGAATATACTGGCAAACCTCTAATAGTCCTGAACAGCTCATAAATAAGTGAAATCGGAGGTTAAGAAGATGGAGATTTTAAATCACAATAATATCCAGGAGATACTATTTTATAGTAAGAATCATGGACAATGGCACTCTAAAATGCATTTTGTGATACTATACAGTGGCGTGCAAAAAGAATGCACGTGACAATTTTTTGGGCATTGTACAACTTGTTGCATCCATATCTTCGCCGTTTCC